GTGCCAGACGCTATACCAACTAAGCCACGGAACGAACCAACGGACCTCACGAATTTTTCTATGTGCTTGCGTCGTGTCTTTGTACTTGGTTTTTCAACGACTTTTCTTTTTTAATCTATTGCAGATTTGTCACATCATATGAATTTTTTCTGAGTGTTCGATTATTAATACAAAAATAATTATAACAAACTAGTGGAGTAATTTCACAAAAAATAATTGAATATCAATTCAATACAAATTTAATTATATTTTTAAAGTTTAATATAAATTTTAATAATCTTTCACGGGAAGTAATTCGTTTCTGATCGATTCTGAAAAAACACACTTTTTACGAGTTAATATTGTATTGACAGTGTGAAATAATAAATTTGGATAAAAATATATGAGAAAGCAAATTTTTTTTTTGTTCCCTTTGAATATTATGAGATATTTTGCTACCATGACATTATTTTTTGTGATATTACTCAACTAGTTCGTAATAATTGTCAATACAAAGATCGAACACAAAGAAAAATTCCATCTATCGGACAAGACTAGAACTTGCGTCTGTTTAACCAATCTAGGGCAAATGCTCTACTGAAATGAGCTCCAGATCTAGTGATCGGACCTTTCGAATTTTTCTATGCGTTTGTTACACATCTTTTGTTTTTGATTTTAACAGCTAAAAGACATTAAGGGTCGTATTCTAGAACTCTACTCAATGCTCAAGTCAGGATTTGAGTATGGTTTAAAGCACTCGAAATCATACTCAAGTCCCTGCCATTAGGGTCGTATTTCCAGTGCTTGAAATCATACTCAGATCCTGACTTGAGTATTGATTAGAGTTCTGGAATACGACCCTTAGAGCATTTGTGCACTACGACGTCCGATTCGTATCAGGGGGTCTACTCTCGATCTCTGTCCGACATCCGTCCGAAACAATTACTGCCAAATAAGCAATACTTGACCAAATGAAATGACGCGTCATGCGAATGAAGTTTCATACTGGATACTTGTCTTTTAATTTTGTCGAATATTACTTATTTGACAGTAATTGTTTCGGACGGATGTCTGACGGAGATCGAGAGTAGACCCCCTTCCGAACCCGAGAAATGACGGTCCGAAATGTCACAGGGATCGTTTTATCTCTAGGTGTACAAGCTACATTCGTATTTTCTCGGATTTGAATCGGACTTAGTGCACAAGCGACATCCGAAATGAGTCCGAGTTTTCTAGATTTGCATAGTCTCGGAGTCCAAACGGATACGAATCGGATGCTTGGAAATACTTTTATAGTCCGTTTTTTTTTTTGAAAACGGACTAATTTTTTATAAAATTTTAATAGTCATGCAGTTGTTGTCGACAGTTTTATCGATAGATTGTGAAAGAAGATAGACTTTTACCAAAAATGTTTGAATTGTGAATGTTACGAGATTCCAATGATTACTGATCGCGTTATTCTTTATACCTATTTTAACAGCGGGTCTACTAGTATCGAAATCAATTTTAATTCCTATGTTCAATCCTATGGTATTGGATTGGGCAAATCAAATCGGTTCTTTTGTATATAAAATAAGGTTAGGTTAATTTGTGCTGTATGTACTAACAATAGTCTAAGTTTTAATTGTTTACTAACACTTTGTGTATGGGCATTTCATTGCCTGAAATAAATAAAAATAATAATTCATATAAATTTGAATAAGGGCACGCGAATTTGATTATCTATATTGAATTAAAATGAAAATCTGTAAAATATGCCTCCTCTTTGTATTTTTAATAGTTCATACTTCTAAATGTGGGGTATGCATGTGTATATGTGCTTACAAATATTTACAATTCAAAGGAACCTGTGTCCGGTAGTGGGCTGAGTCCGCATAATGGGCCGACGATGATTCAAATGGCACAAGTCCACTAGCTGTTTGCAAGCGGCGAACACTTTTGCGCATTGAACAGTCATTTTACTCCATCTTCAAAAAGACAGGCTAATTATCTCACTATATATTGCCTTACTATATCTGTCCCGCTTTATAACTTACTACCCCCAAAATTCGCCCGCCCCACCAACATAAATCATCTCTTCACTTTAGTGTTTTCCCGCTTATTTCTATCCTATGTAAATTCATCCAGTTAATTATACTTATAAATTTGTGTTACATGTTTGTGATATCTTTTGTTTTATATTCTCACCTGAATATTTATGAAGATCAACCCGGTTATTGTCAATAGAAATCAATGTTTTTTTCTTCTTTCGACCTTGACATTGGCAAAATCATCATTTCATGTAATGATGGAGCCATCAAAATAAAAAATGAAGTGAAGTGACTATAATAGGATGAAGTAAAACAGATGGAAAGATTATAATGATATTTATCGCTATGAGTTTGAGACTTTAATAAAAGTTATGTGGAAAGTTTCAAAAACATAAAAATACAATCAAAAAGGAAGCCTATTAAGGATGATTATGCATCGAGAGATGTTTTCGTGCTTTGTCACTACAAAAAAGGAACCAGGTTTTGCTACAGGAACCAAAATATCGTATACCTTAATGTGGGACATGAACTGGTTATCTAACCATTACACCTCAATCTGTTAAGCACGGTGTTACGAAAAGAGAAATGTTTTAAAGTTAGAATTTATTTTTATTTATTTATTTTTACCAACTTAAAGCATGTACCTAAACTGATCTAAGCTAAATCTCTACTGGTAATTCCCTTAATGCGATTATGTAGACAACAAGTCTTACTTACTGACCTTTAACGTAAATAATCACTGCGTTCTGATTTTGAAGGGTAAAGATGCTGTTAAAATTATAGTAACATGGGACTTGCCAACTTATGTTTCAGAGTGATGGGCTCAGTGGCAGTGCCCCGCAAATCTTTTACGATTTAAAGCTCTGAGTGACATTAGAACTGCTATGGACAGGCGTATCGCTTACCACCAGGCCCACGACGTCTTCGCCCCGTCACTTTGTATCGTTAAAAAAACGGAAGACTGACAATCAACAATGCTTAGTTTTTAACCTCTATGATTACTTTCTTTTGTTCAATTAAAATACAATAAAGGTCTTTTTATTGTATTTTAATTGTCGGAATATTAATTGAAGCGCCGTATGAGTGCTCAGATCGCTACAGATCGCTAACAAACGTAGACAGATTGACATACACACATCAAAAAAAGTTTGCGATCAATAGCATAAGCTCCTATAATTCTTTAAATTTAACTTTATCAAGAAAAAAATCTATGTTGTATGCTTTCTTTAAATAGGAATACCCTGTTTGAAATTAAAATATAAAACTATTTTTTATTATTTATTTTAAAAAATTGAGCCATTAATCATAATGTAATAGTGATAGAAATTTCATAGAAAGAAAAAGACTGTTCAATTAAACTTAAACAACAATTTATTATTAAAAGGTGTGAATTCAATATAAAATAACTCCTCCCCTGGCTCGAATACATGCGAAGATCCTCCTGGGCATGCTGAGGATCAAGTTATCCAGCATTTCCTGGGGTAACCTATCCCATTCTTCAATAGCGGCTTCCCTGAGCTCTGGAACTGTCTGGGGACGTAGCTCACGGTTCCATACTGCTCGTTTAAGAGCATCCCACGCGTGCTCTATTGGGTTTAAGTCGGGCGAGCCGGCAGGCCAGTCTAATCGTGTGATATCGTATTCTTGAAGAGCAGCATTGACTCGTTGAGCTCGATGTGCGGGCGCAATATCATCGACCAGTACAAATTGGTGCCCATGGTTTACTCGGAATGGTCTGACGATATCATCAATAGCAACTGCTTTGTACATGTCTGCTGTCATGAAGCCCCGATACGGGATCAAAGGCGTTCTAGCTCCAATCATAATGCCACCCCAAAAGGACACCGATTTTTCGCCTTGCTGAACTGTTCCAGAGGCAGTTCTTTGTCTTTCACGGTCGCCTGGTCTTCTCCAGACACGGACACGTCGGTTATCTGGATGAGTGCTGATTCGGGATTCGTCAACGAAGAGACAGTTTTGCCAAATGTTTTCGTCCTCACCTTCTTCATTTTGCCGAAGTCTAGCCCACTGCAATCTTCGTTGTTGACGTTGCCGGGAATTGAGCGGAGCTCGCCAATACCTCCGTGCTCGTAATCCAGCCTGGTGCAAGCAATTGCGAACGGTCTGCGTGCTAACTTCAAGCCCAGAGGCGGCCCTGACTTCTGCTTTTATTTTAGTGGCGTTGATTGTTGGATCACGGGCTGCCAGCGATCTAATATAGCGCTTTTGGGCAGCTGTCAAAACAGTTGGGCGACCGCTGCGGGGTCGGTCAGCTAAATTCCCCATTCCGTGATACCTCTGCAACGTAGCCACGACACAGGATTGGGATATAGCAAGTCTGCGTGCTATTACTCTCGTGGTGTATCCTTCTTCCCTCAAAGTTACTATTCTAGCTCGTAAAACCTCTGATAATCCTCTTGGCATTTTTTCAATCACAACTTTCCGCGAAAAATATCTTGAATCGCTTATAATTGACTAAATCAGATTTCTGAATGAGCGTAAGCTAGGACTGAAAGCCTTTTTATATAAAAAAACAATTGAACGGGGTCATTATTTTATTTTCTAATTTATTTTTAAATAAAGAATCTAAAAAGAAGAAAAAATCATAATATAATCTACAGTAACAAAAAAGATTTCAGTTTTTCGAAGTGATCGCAAACTTTTTTTGATGTGTGTACATGACAAAATTCGAACTAAAGGTATAATATATTCTGAGATCAAATTGCGTGTTTGTTTTATGAACCAACATTTCGACTGACTGAAAATAGCTGTACACATGTGATCTGCAAAAAATCCGAAACGTTGCTTTGTCAGAAAAAACAAAACAATCTGCTATTTAGATACGAAAAGTGTAGCAATCGCAAAAACCTATATGTCTTACTTTCGCTCAAGGAGCACTTTACCTTTCTTATAGAAGTAAATTGTGAACAAACTCAATAATTGAAAATGGAACCTAATTCCAATAAAATGAGATATTCATTTTTGTTACAGCGGCTGTGGTGATAGCGTTCTTCGTTTGCTGGGCGCCCTTCCACGTACAAAGGCTCTTTTACGTCTACGGGTACGATTTACCGCAGTTCCAGGCAATCAATGAACATCTTTTCAACGTGGCCGGAGCATTTTACTACGTGTCTGCTACTGTCAATCCTATACTGTATAACGTTATGAGTGGACGGTAAGTACGACAGTTATTCGAATTTACAATTTTGAAACTACTTTTATGGCTTTTTGTAGTGAAATCTGCCAGATTACAGTGAAGAACACGTCAAGCTTGTCACTTTGGATTTTGGACCGTTCTTATTGTAAGCGGCTTAATGTAGAATTTAAATCTTAAGCCTCAAGCTTAATGTGTTTTTAACCCTGTACGTGTATTATCTTTGGATAAACGAGGTTACAGCCAGCCCCACAATGGACGTTAATTTTAAATAATTTGCTACGAAACGAATAAATAATTACAAAAGATGCAAGATTTCATCTTGAAATATGTTCTTGATCTAAATCATAGTATTATACTAACTGAACACACTAAAAGAATTGATGTACTGAACATACCAAATACAGATAAAGCGGGAATAAACAGCAGTTACTTGTATTGGTATTAGTGGTTAAGCAGTCGTTATAATCTAGTTTTATTTCAAATTTATTAGATGTTTTTTGTTGCCCAGTAACCGCCATATTGATATTTTGGGATAAAATGTATTCTATGACATTCTAAAATCCACAATAACGTAACGATATCCTCATACACTAAAATCCATGTAGCACTTTAAACTACACGATAATTTAAAGAAATAGAACATACATACTCACTCACGTGAAACGTTAGACTCCTACTTGAGCACATCAGTAATAACCTAACCTTCGGTTAAAAAACCGACCTCAAAAGTCATTCATCCCCTAGTTTGCCACTCTTAGAGATGGAATATTTTCTTGAAATTTAAATGGGACTACGTCTGAGGTACTTTCTTTCCAACAAAAAAAGAATCATCGAAATTGGTTCACAAATGGCAGAGTTATCGCGTAACATACATACAAAAAAAAGATAACCTCCTCCTTTTTGAAAAAAAGACGAATAAAGATAAGTATTTACTTTGTGTATTTGATCGATGTAAGCGCATTTTGTTTTAATACCATATTGTTATTGTAATTAAATTATACTTTGTTGTTGTTGTTTAATAACGTTGCCTCAAATTACCTTGTTATCATTCCGAAATTTACCCTAAAACTTTGATCTTCCTTTGCCGGTGGCCATGACAGTTAGCAAGCATTTAATTAATATCAGTCTTCAAACTTAGTGTAATCCTACTGCCAACATTTAATGTGTATCTTTACTAAACTTAGATACAAATTTGTTGAAAAGTCGTTTGTGAACCGATTTTGTGTGGTCTCTTTTAAATTTGACGAAAATATTCCACCTCTAAGGGTGGCAAACTAGGGAATTAATGACTTTTAATGTCGGTTTTTTTAGTGCTTTGTACTGAGATATTAAATAACTAACAGTGTATCTTTAAAGAAGACTGTGAATGTAAAATTAATAGGTTTCATTTTGCATAAACTTATTTTATATGTTATTTGCTGCAAGTTCTGTAATGAGCGTTTATGACGTCAGTGGCCCAAGAGTTTGAACTGTGGTAGCTGAATAAGGCAGCCCCGGGGTCGATTCTCAGTAGGGCCTATTTGGAAACTGAGTTGGAGTGAATTTCGTTGCTCCGGTACTCATAATAGTAGAATTCCCTAGTTTGGAACCAGACAATCGCGGTAGTTGTCTGGCACATAATTAAAAAAAAAAACAGTTTTTTTATGTATATCACATTAGTAAATGACCAAAATTTGCCTTGAAAAATAGAAAACACAAATAGGTGGGCTTTACTTTATTACCATAACGACGCAGGTTCGTGTCCTGTCAGTACACAGAAATTTTTCTTTGTGTTCCGATTTTTGTATTAATAATTTATATACAGGATGTAAATTTGAAACGGGGCAGCAAGGGCAGCCACCTTAATCGTTGTAGTTACAGGAAAACGGTTTTAGAAGACTATCCATGAATTTTGAAGATATTTTGATTGGCATTCACAGATTTTGAAAAAATGGTAGTCAGCAAGATTAAAGGCAATTTTTACAAAACTTTTTTTATGCCATTCGATCCGGTCTCTGTTAAGGATCAATAGTCTCCATGGAACAAACTGAGATAAGAATACTCGAAATGTTTGAAATCGCAATAAACTTTTTACCATACATTTTGTATGCACATATTTGGTAATCAGTTAATCTAGGTAGTTAAGGAAACTAACAAATCGACAACGATTATGTATTAGTTAAATGAAATTTATAAAAAAATGCAATAGTGTTCAAGAATTGAAAGACGCACTTGCAGCAATTTTTAATGGAATCCATCCGAGTAAAATTTCTTCCGCTACTTGCTCTTTGCGGAAGAGAGCGAATCGATGCATCCGCCAAGGCGGCAATCAATTCGAGCACTTACTATCATACATTTTTCATGTTATTTTGCTTTTTGTTACTGTTTTTGTTTTGAAATATATAATACGTTGTCAATTTGTTAGTTTCCTTAACTTAGAATAACTAATTACTAAATGTGTCCCTACAAAATGTATGGTAAAAAGTTTTTTGCAATTTCGGACATTTCGAGTACTCTTACCTCACTTGGTCCCATAGAGACTATTGATCCTTAACAGAGACCGGATCGAATGGCATAAAAAAAAGTTTTGTAAAAATTACCTTTTATCTTGCTGACTGTACCATTTTTTCAAAATATGTGAATGCCAATCAAAATATCTTCAAAATTCATGGATAGTCTTCTAGAACCGTTTTTCTGTAACTACAACGATTAAGGTGGCTGGCCTTGCTGCCACATCTCAAATGTACACCTGTATAGCAAATTACTGGAGTAATTTTACAAAAAATAAATGAATATCGGTAGTAAAACATCATGATATTCAATAAAATCAATATTACTGTTCATAAAGCGACATCTCTTGTCAGCTTCTGGTAGCTGTAAGGACTGAGTGAAGAAATACTTTCACAGATTTCTCTCAGGTGGCACAACTATAAAAAAAGCCGTTAAAACTAAAAAGAAAGATCGTTTGTTACAACAAACGTATAGAGAAATTCATAAAGTCTGTTGAATCGGTCTGTAGTTCAATTGGTAAAGCGGTTGCCCTGGATTGGCATACAAATGCAGATTCGAGTCCTGTGAGATTGAAGGATTTTTTCTTTGTGTTCTATCTTTATATTAATAACTAGATGGCGCACGTTGCACCGGGCGGTTAGAGCGGCCCGCGATGGCTTTCTTTATATCTTGTGACAAATTGGGAATTGAACTTTATATTTTAGCAGAGAATCCTCTTTGGTTGAGTTTGAGTGGGAGGGATCTGCGGAGATTCATAAGTCAATTATTTATTATTATTGAATTTGTCAGATTGGAAAATTTTTGATCCCGGTAGAACCTGACCAGGGACCTAGACAAATTTTGTTTGAAAGTCATACACCCATCTCTGACGCCTTCACCGGGCCGTTTATCACGGAGACCGGGTCGACTTGGATGTTGCATGTTGCGCTGGGCCGCTAAAGCGTCTCGCGAGGGCTGTGTGACTTTCAATGTAGGAAAGACTTCGTCGGTCGGTTGGTTTTGGTTTCATTGGTGATTATTTTTAGTTAGGTTTATTTGGGTGGAAGGGAGCCAGGTAGTAGTTATAATCGCATCAAGTCGTATCCTTATATACTTCAAAAGAAACTACTCGTATATCATCAATAGTTGTGAAGATTCAGTAAAGTAAATTTTTTTAAAGCGGCCATCTTAGATTCGCCACATTGGAACACTTTTGGTTCCGGTAGAACCTGACCAGGGTCCTTGACAGTTTTTGTTTGATAGCCATACACCCATCTCTGAATAATTATAAGAAATAGGATAGGAGTACTGATTGTTCATCACCGTCATGAACCTATAGTTATACAGCTGGGAACGGGTCTTTTCTTAAGAGAGAGTTTAGATCATAGTTTCTCAAAGTGGTTTCGATAGTGGCCCCCCAGTGGGCTCTGAAGAGTCCATGAAGAGTCAATTGGGTGACGTTGTTACTGTCTAAGGGGTGCTACCGCATTTGAAAAAAAAAACCTGGATTGTCTATATAAACTACACTCCGTACCTATTATATTTTTTTTCTTTTTGGTTTTGTATGTTAAATTAATATAAAAAATACGTGTTTTCAATTATTTATTGCGGTGATGGGTGTTGAATTTTTTTTTTATCTTGCCTAAGTACGCGGTAAGCCAAAAAGTTTGGGAACCTATGATTTAGATCATAGTCTGCCATGTTAGCCCAGCGCTAGTATTAGACTTCAAAGGGTTTCCAAGGGATGAGAACCTTTTTATACATGCAGGTTTTTCATCACGATGTTTTATTAAATTTTTAGTTAAAGGACTTTACGTTTCCAAATGTACATTCCAATATAATCATCACAATTTTACAAATCAAACTCACAAAATATCATAATTTTTTTTTCATAAAAATCAAACAACAATAGCAAACTGGCTGGAGCAGTGGCTAGCTGACAGCGACAAATAATTTAAACCTTTGTCAGTCGTTTTCAGCTGGCCCCCAAAGCCTTGTGTTTTTTACCTATTTATGTTGTTTCCATTTAAATAGGTATATTATTTTAGTACTTACCAGTTATTATAATTGTTCACTCCCTTGTTAACAATAATAAACAATTATTGTTAATAAAAAACAATAAACTGTAAATAAATAAACAAAGGACATTACTGCCAAATATCAAATCAAGCAATGGTACATCTGAAATACTATATGTTTTATGACATCAAGCGACACGCCTACCCCTGCCATTGCGTCTGTCGATGATATACAATTTCTGGTCGAATACAAATTCACCTACTTGTATAATTGGGCTGATTACTTTGCCAGCGTCACCAGCACCCTTACCCTTTAAAACCGGAACGCCGTAAAGCTCAAATTACTGCTTGACGTCAAAAATAGTTAAGGTGGAAGTTCTTCCCTGAACGAACCCTTTCACAAGGAGCTCTACAGCTACAAAAATATATATTTTAACAGAAACTTCCCCATGTTATCACGTAACAAGTATTTACATACAGATTACTAGGACAAAACATGCTTCACGTCTCACGGTAATTTTGCGTTTAAGT